ATAGTTACTGTTAACCTTCTACATGTATTTAAAACCTAGTGCCGTCATTTTAAAACAGTAAGAAAAGTCTACGCTATTTCTGAATGAAAATGAATGTTTGCATTTAGCTGTCTCTGAAGGTTGACAGTAGCCTTGTTGTAAGTTTATTGCTTCGCAATTGCAATTTTTAATTCTACATGTAGATTTAGGGTTCATTGTACATGTTTCTTATTCAGATCATTACTTTTTAGGTAGACAAGAATCATGCGCTGAGATTCAAAAGTCGATACTTGYGATATATATCTACCGAAAGAAAGTGTATGACTTAATGAATAGAGCTGAAGATCCAGCAGACTTTTCAAAGTATCTCTATCAGCCTGAAAGATCTGCCTATTCAAGTGAATACGTACACCAACGGGAGGATCACAACCATCTTTTGAAGCGCATTGTGAACTGCCTCCGAGAGGGCCATATACCTGGAACGCGATTACAGCTACTATGTGCTGCGTTAGCAGATCCCAACACCGGACTCACCTATGAGGCTCTCACAGGAAAGAACAAACAATCTGTTCCTGATTGTGAACGTCTGGTATCGCCAGGAGTAATTGCTTTCTTGGARGGTGWAGGAGATGTACGTGGAGCAAAAGTCATCCACACTATTCATAACTGGCATAAGGCTGTTGATGGTAGAGGACTAGATGAAGCTACCCGGTCCAGGTACATACAAGACATGAAGGCATGGATATTGGASGATTGGATGCCTTGGCATAAAGACAGTCCTGACTATACTAATCTCGATGTCAACAGGTACTAAACTACTTAAAATATCCTTCTCGAGTACAGTAAAAATTCTAATGTTATCATTTTGTACAGTTAATGTTTTTCATTGTAATAATAACAGTAAWTTTTTAATAATACTTCACACAATAATTGTGTGCAAGGTATTTTTACCAAAAAAATATCAAATTATTATTTATTAGGTCTATCAAAGGCATTTGTGGTCTCACCCGAGAAGTTTTTGTTGGAYTTGTTGCCAATTTGGAGTCTAGAGAACTGAGKCGAGTGGAGTATACTGCCAGAGGACTCCCCCCAGAGCACCCCAGGTCTTCATCAACTGATGATTTAGAAGGCCTTTTCTCACTTCTACACAAATGCTTGGTCCCTCATTAGACYTTAAACAATTATTATGRCGAKCTGCCAAAAATTCTCAATGAATTTAACAAGAAGATTGATCCAAATTTGCCGTTCTTTTATTGGACTGGGGCAAATGTGAGATACCGGGACTTTGCCTTGCCATCATTCAATGTGCCATCAGGGCCAGGAATAGTCGAGAGACTAGACAGAATAACAATATCAAGAAGAGGTGACCCTGGCGTTTTTGTTGCTAACAGAGCTTCCATTCCACAGCTTGGACAGCTTGCAGTCAGAGCAACATTCCACAAAACTCCAGCTCTGCTTCCTCCAGCTTTGTAAAAMTTATCACAGAATACTTAAACTAATTATGGTAGCGCTGTATTTTTTTATTATGCATTTTGCTTAAGTAATACATCATATACGGCAATAGCTCTTTCAATACTTCCTAATACACATTTTGCTGTTCAATACCSATTCTGGAACAATCACCCAAGAATTAGGCAAAAACACTGATTGTTTAATTCCATGTTAAATTCTTTAATGGATTCCCTATCGCTTTGATKGAGTATTTGTTCATGTTTGTTGAATACCTATTCACACTAAAGACCGAATGCTTTTTCGCCTGGATGAATGTTCTATTACGGGTAATGAACWGCAAAAGATCTAATAGATATCACAAAGCCTTGTGGGATAGAATTGATAAAACTTTGCTTATAAGGAAATAATGTCTAGACATCAGTTAAAAAGCAAAGGATTATAAACTAGAAACTATAAGGCAAAAACAATGCTTCTGCATATTAGCATTTATTTGGGCTTGCCTTCTCTGCAATGCCATAATTGATAGTTGTGAAGTTATAACTGTGCTATTATCGTGTGCAAACATGAACAAGTACTTAGATATTTAGTAATCGACAACTTTCTAATGTTTCTCTCTTAATGTTTATGTAACCCTTTGCAGCATATCTCTGTTAAAAATTCAAGAGAAATTCAAGTGCATAATGAATGAGAATTATTGCTATGAGAACTGCATATACACATATATAATACTTCATAAAAGTGCAAAAACCCAATGGGCCAGTGAGATCCTGCACAGGGTTACAGTTACCTTAAGCTATTTTACAATGCAAGATAATCATCTAACTTGCTTGCTTGCCTTTAGAACATTCTGGTGCCAGAGTCCTCTCTTGGACAGTGTAATAGTAATATAGAAGCCAATCAAAAGGTATTGAGTGCAGGATCGAATCTGTTTGACTTCAACCTTAAAATCTGGTAAATTGATGCACTGGTGAACATATCCTGTCAGTTCGCTAGGAATGTAACCAACTTTTTCATAGATATCGTCGGACATTACATAAACAGCTATTGCACGCTCATCATAACTGTTGTCAGATTCTGGTAGAACTCTTGCAAAGACGTATCGGTTGTGTGAATACATAGCTTCATATGCATTTTCCAGTATTTTTTGTCTCTCTTTGGTCCAACAAGTGCCAAGCACTTTGAATGGCAGATTATGGATTTCTGTGTATTCATCAACACCATCATCATCATCATCATCATCAGAGCACTCTGGTTCATTAGATTCACTAGAAGGAGAAACGTCATTTACATGCACAGTAGTGTCCACTGATAATAGTTGTTCAGCATCTGTTCCAAACTCCCATAGACGTTCGTACTCTTGGTCAAGTATAATACCTTTGCAATGTGATTTGCATTCTTTCCTCCCCTTCATTATATTACATTCAGTTTTTACTAATCCGTCATACTCTTGATTGTTATATATAAATTTGACTGGATTTAAGTTCAAAGTTATGGTTTTGTCTTCGATACTAGTTATGGCTATTTCCACATTTGATGCAAGGATGTCAAAATTTCCACCCCTTCCTGTAAAACAGAAATTATATAAATACCAGTAAATTTAATGGTTTAATTAGTATAACCAGGGACAGGTGCCTTTGCGGAAGGTCAAAAAAGGTAGGGAGAAAGATATATCACTTTTTGACACTATAGATTTTCTAGAATTTCATTTAAGTTAAGTATTAATACTTTTGTATGTGCTTTTGGAAATAAACGTTTTACCTTGATTATCATTGGGACTCTTGTCTTTGATTTGTGTCTCTAATGGATTATTAAATATCGAAAATATATGTTAGTTACTTAAAACTAAAAAACGTATTTGGGTAATTCCATGTCACGGACGTTACAACTTAGACATTAGAGATCAGTTTCAAAGGCCAGTCTTATATAGTTTGAAAACATTTTATGAGCTTTCATTCGTACATAAACCTTTTAAATAAGGAATGTTTTGCAGGGCAGTTCATTTCCCAATTTTCATTTAACCAACTCTTCATATTTTAAAATACATTGCCGTCACGGACGTTACATGATTATAAACCACAGTCTTTGATGTTGTTATTTTAAATAAAATTTCCTGTGAATTGTGAAAGTTTTCTGAAGCAATTTCCCCTAAATGGTTATGCACATAGACTATCTTTTTTAATTATCTTAATGTCAAAGTCATCATTACTGTCAAAATTTCGATGTGACATTAAACATGCTGTCACGGACGTTACATTGTGTGAATTATATATAAGATTGGGTTTTTTATATGATTTTTTAAAATCTATTTTCATTTTTACAATCATTCTAAATAAACCAAAAGCCTTCCAGCAGTTTCACACTTGTGAGCATGCTCTGCATGGAAGTCAATGGGCATGCTCTCTTAAAAAAATACTTCTGACCAAATAGATTCCTTTCTTAAACAACATGTAAAGTTAGTGAGTCTGTAATATTTTTCATTATCAAAATGCCTCAAACTGGTGCTGAAATAAACAAAAAGTACAGAGAGAAGATCAAATCCAATGCTGAATTAAGTGCAGCATATAAAGAAAAAGACAGGAAAAGAAAAATGGAAAGCAGAAAAAATAATATCCATAGTCCAAGAAAGGCTGCCATCGAGAGAAAGAAAGTTAAAGATAGAGTGAGGATGCATAGGTTAAAGAAAAAACTGGCCACTAAAGCTAAGTCTTCAGCCAATACTGAACAAAATGAGTCTGAATATGCCTATAGAACTCCTCAGAGCTTAGGAAAAGCTGTCAAAAAGGTTTCCAGGCAGCTTCCAAGCAGTCCCAGGAAGAGAAAAGCTGAAACAAAAAAAAAATTGTTGAAACAACTAAGTTAACACTCAACACACCCAAAGATCAGAATGGCAACAATCAAATTTTACTTCCTTGATTCAATTTCACGCCAATCTCCAGGACGAAAAGACTTTGTCATATCAAGGAACAATGGAAAGAAATCAAAACTCCAAAAGAGGTACTTGATCTGGTCATTAAAGGAAACATTTGGTATGTTTCAGCAAGAACACCCAAATACAAAGATAGGCTTGAGTAAGTTCTGCTCCCAGCCAATGTTCTTCTCAAGTCATCCACTCCACGAGAAGTTTGCCTTTGTCAATATCATGACAATGTCAACATGCTTTGTGACACACTTAGTAAAAAAATTCCAAGCTTTCCCTCATATTCAAGATCATTTGTGGACAAATTGGTCTTTGACAGCAACAAAGAAGAATGTATGACAGGAAAGTGGTTTGAAACTATAAAAGATACAAGACTAAATCTTGAAGAAGTGGTAGAGTGGAGTCAGTGGGAAAGGGTATCTCAGAATAACAAAGGAAAGAATGGCAAAACTAAAGCAGTCAAGAAGATGGTTAGAGTATTGAAAGAGGGAACTCTTGAAGAAGCAATAGAAACCCTTGAATGTAAAATCCCGTTAACTATTCAAATGTTGTGTCAAAACGCAAAGATTGTGGGAAAAAATGCAAATTTCTCTCTGATATCATGTACACATCAAAAGTCCTAGAGAAAGTGAATATCCGGCATGTTCTAATAAAGTATCCTGAGAGGAAAAGTTACTTTTAGCGGTTAAAAAGTTAAAAATATACTAATAGTGCTTTTGTATGACGTAATTGATTAATCGAATGGAAGTGTATTAAATCCAACATTAATGTGACTGTTATTAATTYATATAAYATTAGCTTCGCCAGTATTTGAGGAACAGAGAGGTCACATTCCTATAGCATCGTTTGGGATCCTTTTATAATAATCAGCAATTAAACCAGGCAATGTTTTCATGGACCTGTTAAGGTAAGTGATCAGCTTATTCCATAAATTATAATAATAATAACAACAGATAAAGCAGCAGTAATAATATTAATAACACGACTTGTTTTCTGGAGCTTGACGTTTTTTATTTTTTTTATGCAACTTCCTTAAAAACCTTTTGATTAACGAACAATTTTAATTGTTCAATTTAATTAAAATACCAAACCGAGAAAAAGAAAATCATTAAGTGATAACATTCAACGGAATATTTAGTGATTTTTTTTATTTCCTCATTTCATGAAATAGAAAGATGCGCGTCGTAACTTGCGCGGCACACGGAGACGCGTATTAGAGCACGACTACTCTACCAAACAAAGAGTATCACTCCAGGCATCAAGAAAGTTAGGATGTAAAGCAACATTACAGTTTCGCTGTGTGAAAGTGTTGTTAGACTTCTATTTAGATGCTAGCCAATATAAGTCAAAAAGAGGTTACAAAGAAGCAAGAGCCAACGTCTTGAAGAAGGCACAAGATGCAATAAATGTTAACCCTGACTGTACATTGAGAACTGAGAGAAGATATTTTGTAAGAATTCGGCTGACTGCTGCCCATGCAGGTCACCCTGTTGGCCATCATTCAAGTGTTGGACATTCAGTTGACAAAAGAATCGTCAGTAAAATTTATGAACTGGTTAAAAACAATGTCACGAAAACGGMGGATGTAAAGAGTGCCTTAGAAAGATATGTTGAAGAAGATTTGTTTCGTGGTTTTCCRACACAAAAAAAGGCACAAAAGAGCAGTCGGAAGTATTACCTCCCGGAGAAGGGACCTTCGCAACTACATTGCAAAGGCAATCAAGGCTTTTCGCTATTCGTCTGACGACCAGGAGTCCCTTAAAAGTAAAATTGCTGATTGGGAGGCAGAATCGCCTGAGTCAAAGTTTCGCTACCGCACAAGAGATGACAACCAACAGCATCGAAGGTTGCAAGGAACAATCGTTTCTTTTCGTACATCAAGAGACCTGGCAGCAACGATTGTTGATGAGGTATGGCAAAGAACTCATCTTCATGGATGCAACATACAAAATCACCAGGTACTCAATTCCACTTTTTTTCCATTGCGTCCAAACGAACGTTGGATACAAAGTGGTCCCTGAATTTATGACCCAAAATGAAGACCAGACCGCCATCAGCGAAGCCCTGTCCGTGCTGAAAGAGTGGAATCCGGAATGGAGTCCCA